ATAACATTTTTTTAAAATCTTATTTTGTTAATAACAATTGCAACTTTTTACCTGCACCAAAATCTATCAAAAACACTTTTCTAGAGGTGATTGCAAATCGAATGAGCTATCGTTCATATTTTAAGGACCTTTATATCTATTCTTCATGTTTTTGAACTCGTTGATTAGACTAGTAAGTGAGAATGAACGTAGCAAAACACATTAGTTGCAGACTGCAATGCAGTATTCCCACTCAACAAAACTGATTCACCAACAGCAAACTCGTCGTAAGGTTTGTACAGTTCAAGATAAAATGTTGAACTTGAAAAATAATACGAAACTCATGTTTAATTATTTCAACCTCCACGTGGTGAAAACCGTATATTGCCGAAAAAAGCCAAAGAACATGCGAGGAACCATGTCGCGCGGCCAGCTCATTCCAAATAGCCAGTTCTCGTATCAGTGTTTTTTTATTATAAGAAGGTGAAACCACGGAGTCCAATTGAAACAAGGGATTTTGGTTTCATCTAACAGGTTGATAGTTGTCAAGAAACTTTCCTTCTGTAGCAAAATCTTCCACTTTCATGAGAAATAGAAAAAAAAAACTAATTGAGTAATTGAAATGACAAAGTTTCATTGAATCTGTTGAAGATAATTAACTTTCCATCTATCTCTAATATATCTATAACGAAAGGTTCCCGTCATTATTTGAAATTCATGGTCCGTAATAACCGAGTTGTTTTCATAACGTCATTAATTTCAAACAAACACAACACTGCACGGTAATTTGAAATCATTCGAGCATTTGAATTTTATGTAAGGCGTAAATTTTACAGTAATTTAATCAAATTATGAAACAAAATCTGTTTCGCAAGTGGCTGTCACATCAAGACAGCTATACGTCTGCCTCGTTTAGGCGCCATTATGTTTTTCCATAAAGGTGTATAAATTTGGTAATTTCAAGGATAATTGAACCCTAATGGTTATTTGTGTCGGAGAATATGAAGTGCCGGGGAAATTACATAGATACTAAATTGGAGTGTGGTAAAGGGGCCTAAATTGAAATACATTGGCGGAGAGAACTTCCATTTCTATTATAGTGATGCAGAGTCTATGGAAGTTATTGCTACCTGTAAATACCTGATCAAAATAATTTTTGATGTTGAGGGTGATTCATTCTATTCTCTGAAAAAATATATCTAATTATAATTCATAATTATAATTCATACCAGTATGAATACAGGCGTTTTCATATAGAAATGAACACGTCTAAGGTTGCTATTGTATGGCGAAACAGGAGTTGCTGTTTAGTTAACTGTCCAGTAAAACTCTCACAATGAAGTTTTTATTGAATAACAGTTGGGCTGGAAAGCTCGTTGGCTAACATAGCCTCAAAATAGGCCCCAGGTTTGGGCAGAACCGACGAATACGGTGGATGCGGAAGCAATTTGAAGCCCAATTCATGCAATTTTGCCATCGTTTCCATTGATTTGCGACTCGGTGCTTTGTCTTCATGAAACAGCACTTTCTTTTTCTTCAAATGGGGCCTTTTTTCCGATTTCGTCCTTCAAATTACCCAATAACGGTATGTATGGTTTTTTTTTTCAATATATTCGATAGATACTATACCATGCGCATCCCAAAGTACAGAATATTGCCAGCCGAGTGTTGAATTTTTGCAAGCTTTGGGGTCGGTTCACCACGTACAGTTCATTCAGATGACGATTGTTTTGATTCTGGTGTGAATTGATGCAGCCATGTTTCATCCATTGTCACATATTGATTCATAAATTCGGGTTTTTCAGTGTGGAACAGCTTTGTACACTGCTCAGAATCATCAATTCCTTGTTATTTTTAGTCAATTGTGAGCTCGCACGACACCCACTTCGAACATACCCAAATATTAATGAGTGCTTCATCAACAATTGAAAACTAACAAAGTTGTTTCACTGAAAATGTTCTATCCCACAAACTGAAAGTCCGACAGCTGTGAAATTTGTACACGTGTACACTAATAATCACATAGAATATACTAATAGCGTTATCTGTTTGTTGGCCTACGAACTTTTTAGCCCATCTAGTACCACATACATTTTCATGAAGTATCGCCCAATTCAATCACATATTTTTCTTGACAATTGAACTTCAAATATCCATGTATAGTATGGAATATATCGAATGTCAACGAAACTATTCGACAAGTCATAGCTTCTAGAGTCTTAACTGTACCAAAATGAAATTAAGTATAGATAAGTGATATGTGAAAAAGAGTATTTTGCATATTTCCATTCATTCCTTTATCAACTTTTCAATCAGCGATAATTTTATACGGAACACCTCATTTGTTATTTTCAGAGGTATCTTGCATGTGAAGGATGGGAAGGATACAAACACTGTTTCAAAAAGTTGATCAGCAAGTTGAACGTCACTAGGATTTTTACAAAATAATACATGATGAACCTAATTGGGCTGCTACCAAAAATAAAATCACAGTAAATGTTCCACAGTATTTTCTACTATCTGCTAAACAATAACCTAGCAACTGGGGTATTTAATTCAGCTGTGATATTTTGTTGCACAGTTGGTGGTAAATGTTCTACATTTTTTGCATGTTTCGGTCTTTTAGGTCACAGGTCTGTTATTTCGGACTTTATATTTCAAATAATCATATTGAATAAAGTTCAACTCACTAGGATCAGGTGATCTGACGGGCCATTTCAGTGTTATCTTCGTAATCAGCTTCTGGTTTGGAAACTTTAGATTAAATCCAGATTCATAAGGGAATCCAGATCCATAAGGAAATCCAGATTCATACAGAAATGCATATACGATGCTTGAATTTTCGTCAAATGAATATGAACGAACAATTGTATTTCGCACGATATCAGTCCACATAATAAACTTTTGTGGTCATGGTATTCTTGCTTCCAGTATGAATTTTCATCATGCCAATATCCTATGTTCTGCCGATTGATCTGGCCTCGTTTGAAAATAAAATATCAACAACGAAATTGTCAAGAAATATTACTGTGGTTTTTTCCCAACACCAAACCGTTATTTCAACACTTCGACACGTATTTCGATCACCAAGTGATCATCTTCGAGAGGAAGATGAAATTGTTTAATCTTCCTCTTCTCTCTACATGGTGCCCAAGAAATGTGACGAATGGCGTCTCTGTGGCGACTACCGTGCACTCAACGCCTGCACGATATCTGATGGCTACCCAGTGCGCCACATCCAGGACTTCGCCCAGACGCTGCACGGAAAGAAGGTCAGCGCCTACCACCAGATCCCTGTAGCTCTCGAGAATATCCCGAGAAAGGCTATCACTACGCCATTCGGGATGTTCGAGTTCCCAGCGATGAGCTTCGTTCTCCGCAACGCTGCACAGATCTTCCAACGGTTCATCGACGAGAAGCTACATAGATTGGACTTCGTCATCGCTTACATTGACGACTTCCTTGTTGCCTCTGAGGAAAACGAAGAGCACGAGGAACATCTCTAGCTGCTGTTCGAACGTCTCCAGGAGTCTGGCATCATCATCAACACCTCCGAATGCTGTTTTGGAGAGCCAGAAGTCAAGTTTCTTGAATATCTTGTGTGTGGCAAAGGCACGCAACCCCTTCCGGAGAAGTTCTCCGCAATCCAGGAGTAAACACGACCCGTAACAGCAAGAGACCTCTGGCAGTTTCTAGGTACAGGTAGTACTTAAGCCAATTACATGGAACGACACCGATATGGCTGCCTTCACTGCCCTAGCCAGCGTAACAATCCTTGCCCATCCGAAGCTCGGCGCCAAACTCTCCTTGATCTGCGACGCGCCGGACCCCACCGTTGGAGCAGCCCCACACCAGCTAGACAACAGCGAATGGGAAACTCTGGGTTTCTTCTCGAAGAAGCCGAGGCCAAAAACTCTACCTACGACCGATAACTTCTGACCATCTACAAGGCCGTCAAGTACTTTCGGCACTTGGTTGAAGGACGCCACTCCACCGTCCTGACCGACCACAAGCCGTTGACTTTCGCCTTCCGCCAGAGGTCTGACCAGTGTTCTCCGCGCTAGTTCCGCCACTTGGGTTTTATCAGGCATATCACTACCAATATCCAGCACATCTCTGGTGAGGATACTGTTGTCGCGGATGCTCTCTCCCGAGTCAATGCCATCGCTGCGCCACTCGATTCCGAGGCCCTCGCAGCGTCTCAGCAACAGGACCGGCAGCTTCAGCAACTTCGTCACAGAAATGACTCTGGCCTGATCCTGCACTAAGTGACTATCCCATCCAATGCTGCCATTATCTAAGACGTCTCGACTACGACGGTGCAGCCCTTCCTGACAGCCGCCTTTCGCAAACCAGCTTTCGATGTCATCCACGGACCGTCGCGTCCTAGTGCCAGAGTGACCACTAAGCTCGTCAGACAGCGCTACGTCTGGCCCTCCATCAAAAGAGTTTGTCACGCTTAGGCCCACGACTGAATTCAGTGCCACCAGTCCAATATCTCACCCAATATCTCACTACATGTCTCAACACCCATTGGCAACTTGTCAGCACCTTCTAGACGGTTCGAGCACGTCCACATCGACCTTATCGTCATGCCGTATTCCGAGGGATATAGGTATCGTCTTACCTACGTCGATCGCTTTTCACGATGGCCAGAAGCAATACCTCTCCGGGACCAGGAAGCTGAGACCGTTGCCAAGGCGTTCTGTTCCACCAGGGTCGCACGTTACGGGGTTCCGCTATACCTGACCACGGACTAGGGTAGTTAATTTGGGTCCCACTTATTTCGTTTTCTCAACAAGCTAATGGGCACCGACCAACTATGGACAGCAGCATACCATCCCGCAGCCAATGGCATGGTCGAGCGACTCCACCGACAGCTGAAAGCCTTTATCAAGTATCTGCAATCCGACTGGTAGACACATACGCTCCCGACCGCTCTCCTGGGGATTCGTGCAGCTTGGAAGGAAGATCTACAGGCCACTGCTGCAGATATGGTGTACGGTAAGCCACTCCTACTTCATGGCGAATTGCTGGTGTCCACCTCCACCAGGGACATAGACGACTCAGCCGATTTCTTCCGTGAGCTGCGCAAGCATTTTCATGCTCTCAGGTCAGTCAGCGACACCAGGCACGGCGAGCGCAAACTCTTTGTCTTCAAAGATTTTACCACTGCCACCCACGTCATCATCAGGCACGACGCTCCAAAAATACCGCTCCAGATACCATACGATGGTCCCTACAAAGCTGTTTCCCGAGCCGAGAAACACTTCACGTACTCGATGCGAGGTAGAAACGTTTCAGTTTCTATCGATCACATGAAACCAGCCTACATCGTCTCCGAGAACATCACTGCATCTGAGGGTATCACTGACCTTGACGAAGATTACGACGACTTTATTCCAGTTTCTCCAGGAGATAATCGAGGTCCATTGCAACAGGAACCAGCATCATCACCTGCCCCCAGGATACGCTCAGGTCATCGTGTTCAATTAACCGAACGCTACCAGGTAGGCTTAAATAATTTTGCAACCTATTCTTTCATTTTGACGATTTAAATCAGTAATCACAAGATGAAATAATTTGCAATCCTTTTTTTTCTCCTCCACGCAAATTTCACAATTTTCTTTTACAATTTCATACGGTTCAATAAATTGTTGCACATTCAGATTCAAATAGATCAAATTACTGTATCATTTTTTTTATATATCTCCACTTTTCGTGATATATCGTTCATCACTGGTATATTGGTACTGTAGGGTTTTTTCTACAACTACTTACTTCAGAAACATTTTATTTCGTTATTGTTTTTAATTTTGTATTATAAATTCATTTTCGTATTTTATCATCGCATTTCATTGAAATGCTCTCTTCTTTCGAACCGAAAGTTTATTGCCGAATAATATATGGATATTTAGAACGACAGCCACCACTTGGAATGTTTCGAGTAGGTACTTATTGTTAACACTTTTATAGGTTAAGACAAGGGCCCAAGTTGTTTGATCCCTTTTGTCTAAATTTATGACTCGACCATTTGTGAGTGAGAAAGTTACTTCGAACACATTTCTTAGCCGATGCATTCTGTTCAGGGATTTCGGCCGGGAACTAATCCTAATTCTGATTATCCTCGCCACGAGGTTACACTGTAATTTTCTGTTTGTTCATTTGTTGGTGTTATTAATAAATTTTATTATTTATGCTGTGTCCGACTGATTAATAATTCACCTATCACCAGTCCCGACAGTATCATATATAAATTTTTTATCACATTCTATACTTTTACAGATATAACAAGTAGGTGTATCTTTCCCAAAAACAACTTTTTACAAGATTGTACCTGTCTGACTCTCCCACTAGTCATACTACGGAATTTATAGACTACTCGACAAAGCATACGGTGGTAACTCTACTAATATTGACTGAACATTGCTTATTCCGAATTACTTCAATATTCAAATCAAAGTAAACTTTGCACAAAGGCTATGATAACGAACGCACTCCGAGGTTTCGATAGGAGGCTCGTTTATATGAAAATTTCATAACTCACGGTTAAATATTTATTAGGTTCGCGAATTGGAATTTTATTGATATTTTTGATATGAAGTTATAATGAGTTTGATCGCATATTGGTTGCTATACAATTATATATTACTAAAATTCAGTGGTACCCCAGTCAAATTGACATTACATTGTATTTGCATAACAATTGACAATGACGCAAACTGCATAGTTCCTTATTCATTTATTTGAGAATCGTGAGTTTCTCGATCATACCGTTAAACTTTTTTCCAGTAGGTAATCAAAACTATCAAGTCCATCCACTGTTCCTCTTCCTTCATGCTTCTTCAACCCACCACTTTTTTCAGACATTTTCATTCTTTCGTGGTTTTTCATTTTTCAGGAATTCACTTTGGTTTTTGTTGCGTCTGTCGGTTCTGTGGAATTCACTCCCAACATTTTGTAATATCTGACTTTCTTTTGATTCCCTATTCTTTATATGTACCTTATTGCATATTTTCAAAGGCCATAAGTATTTATGTGGTGAAATAGGTGACGTATTAAATAAAAAATTGACATTTTAAACCCGATAAACCAGCAGATACATACTCGTCAGTGAATGGTGTGATAAATTTATAACCTCCAGCCAAAAAACAATTTTCAGCAAATGAGAAGACCCAATCTGCACAGGAGTCATTTAGGTGTTAACTTGTATCGGTTCGATTATTCATGCAAGCTTGGGCTCGATAATACACAATAATAAAAAATCTCCATGGTATAACTAATATTGACAAATCCGTAATCATAGTGTCATATTCAGTGACACATAGAATATCTCATAAGTAATGGTCTAAGCTGAACAAGCCAGTAGAGGAGATCATTTCTGATAAAAAAAGTATACATAACCAGTACTTTTCAGAAGTTTTTTCAGAAACATGGTTTTTATCACAAACATTTTTGGAAAAAATCAAGGGGGAACATGTTCAATGATTTTGAGAAATAGGATTGCAGCTCAATTTCTCATATTGAATTTATGTTCTTTGAAAACGGAAAATAATTCAAACGGTTATATGTATCAAGGTGACAGTGAAAAACGGACAACTTTTCGAAAAACTAGTACTTTTTTTGGTAATTGAAATGATATTTCATCTTAAGGAAAAAATATTTTCAATGCAGTTTGCACATTTTTTTCCTACTACTTGGAAGCCGTCCAATTTTACAGGGAGTGTCATTGGCTTATTTCGTTTTTCCCTGTACTAGTCTGTACCAGTTCCTGCTCAGATGTTTGTTAAATTGTTCTGGTCATAAATTTGGGTTCTTCATTCGCATAAAATACAACGAGCTGTCTCTGTCTTTTCATTAGATTTCCTGAAGTTAGGGTCTCCGTTCTGAAGCCCTATTTTCTTCACGTGTCCTCTCACTGAACAGTATTCAGTAAGTAGCCGATCTCAATTTTATTAAAGCTGTTTTTACCACTTTTATAAAAGTGGTAAAAAGCATAGAAATTTTCATTTCTCTTTTCATTATGATCTCCTACCACGTAGTAACGGCTACATCCATCAATTTATTGAAAATATTCACATTGAATAATCTAAATGACTCCCTTCAGCTTTGCAGTGCCCAATACAATTTCTTGGAACATTTTTGGATACTGGCAGATCATTTCGTAATTCTTGCAACACATTCATCGTTCCTCGCAATTTTTATTCATTATTATATACTGATTCATTGACACGTTCATTCATGTGACCGCAAAGAAAAATTAAGAGGGTTTAGATACAGGGAACGCGGTGGCCAAAATATTCTTCCACTGCTTCTCATCCATCTTATTCGACAGGCATTTGATGAAATTTGACGTACTTGGTGAGCCAACTGTGTTGAAGTGGCATCTAACAGAAACCACATAAATCTGCACAAGTTTCTATCAAGACGATATTAAAACTATTGCTCGTCTGATCTTCAAGGTTTCATTCATCACACCAGATCATGAATAAATACCAAACTAACGCTGAAACCGATCGTTATCCCTGGATTTTATAATGCCCAATAGTGTAAATTGCATAAAGGCAAAATAATGGTCCATCATGTAAAATTTGTTCAACTGAGTTGTTTGTTCCAGGTACGCATTGTGTATGTGAATAAAATCTTGATGATCAAAAAAGTGGGGTACGTACCGTTCGTGATATATTCTTTTTGCTTTCGGCATATCCGTTGCAGAAACCATAAATGAAATGCATTCCTGCAAATTCTCGTAGTGTATGTGAAAATTGAAAACTCGAGAACAACAAAGCAGCAATAGATAGGGAATCTAAAGTCCTTTCAAATGAGATTTTACTCGATGAATATTTCTATAAGAAAATGGAGATGTGACACACGCTTATAGAATTCAAGGTTTTAGAAACTTTCCCCCCACCAAAAAATGACGTATTTTCCGAACGAATGTTACCGCAATGAAAGAAGATATATATCTTTTTTTGATCTGTGATGTTTTTTCCATTAAGTTCGTCGGTTTCTATTCCTGATGGAAATGATTTTCATCACAAAGGAATATGACGCTTCTGGAATAGTATTCATCACTGCCAGTCATTTCACACCGCATCATCGATCCGTGACCAAATTATTTAGTGATGCGTCAATGTGATGATATGGATGTATCAGGCGTGAACAGAATTATTAAAACCGATGCGAAATAAGCAATATTTCATCCTAATGATCTGGTTTGTAACACACTATACGCTGTTTTTGAAACCGTACTCCGTGACGATCATAGCCAAACCGATGACAATATGTTACAGTTGATATTCCAATGTTGTATCACAGTCATATTTTTTGAAATTAATAATGAAATAACGTTTCAAAGCAACTGATTGAAAGTTCGAATACTTCACTTTCCACTTCAACTGTTTTATTTGATTTTCTGATCATCTAACAATAATTCATGAAATTCATAGTTGTTTTCAACTGAAGTTTTAGAAGAGAAACAACTCAAATATTATTTCATATTAATCACAGAAATCAAGATGGAAATTTTGAATTGAAAAGGGAGTATGTTTGGAAGAGATCAACTTTTTGGGGAAAAAAGGCTTTTTGGCATTGTACTTTTCCATCATTGAACAAAACATGTGGACATACGGAAAAAATAAGAAGGAACATAACAACAATGAAAACTCTTCACAAAGATGTGTAGAGCACAGTTTGTATCTGAAAGAAACTTATGTCCATTGTCCTTTTATTGTAGGTTTCCCACATTTTTTGTCGATTGTTGTCGATTGGTATAGAAAGATCATCATGTTATGTGAATGAAATGAACAGTGGAGAATAAATAACAGTCTTAATAACGATGCTGATAAACCCAGTTAGTCATCAACCTGCGATGGTTGAAAAAAAGTGTTCCATCCAGAGAGAAAAACATTTTGCATAATAATGAATTATGAACGAGTTACTTTCGATACTGGAGTGGAAAACGGACTCAGTGACAATGAGAAACGCTTGTGTACAAAGAAGTACAAGAAATACATCACCAAATGAATAATTCGAAGCTGAAATGGTGAAAGGGATAGAACGTAAAGGAATCAGAAACATAAATGAAGCAGATGCGAGAGAACTTGTCTCAGTTTATCTGAGCTTATGATTACTTGTGTGATAACCGTGTCCTACAAACTGAAGCTATTTTAGACATTATGTTCAAATAATTTCACTCAAAGGGAGATTATCCTTCATTCCTTTTTAATTTAAAATCGTAACAAAAAAATCCAATTAAATCAATGATGAGCGGTGCTAGACTAACCCAAAACAACAAAAACCAACAACTGTTTAGTATCAAGCTTCAAAGGGTGAATAAACACCATGAAGTGAGCTAATCCTGGAAGACTCTGCTAGATGTCCATAAATCTTCTTGCCATCCAGATGTTCAATGTTTGTTTGGCAAAGCCTAAATCGATGCCAATGACAGGTTCTGATTCGATAAAACTGTTTGCAGCACCCTCCTTTGCAATTTAGCAGCCTCATTGCCTTCCAGGCCAGTATGGCTAGAAATCCAGACCAGAGAAAATCTGTTGAG